TTGTAAATGTATTTATTTATTGGTGTTCTTAACCTACTCTGTCCCCACAAGTCCACAGTTGGTAATAATATTTAAATCTCAAGTGTTAAGAGTCCTTGAACTATATAAAATACAATTATGGGACATGATACAGCAGAATGAAAGTATTTTAAAGGCTCCCGGAAAAGCTTTGATGGGGCAAATGACTCCCATAAGCCAGTCATTTTGAACCCGAAGTTTAATCGGATGGGGGGGGGATCAAGGTAGACTAGAAATCAGATTAAAAATCAACAGGGGCATAGGCTGAAGGATGGAAAAGTAGGTCACTTAGGTTTCTATGGAATGGATCTGTCTTTAAAACCATATGCAGATAACACACACATAAGCTCCTACTGAGCAGGATTTAATGCCCTGCTCATCAGGCATTTAAGTCAATGCAAGATTTAACCCCACTATCTCACTCATAAGATGACATCATGAGTGATGGCAGTTGGTGAGCAGGGATGCATGGTTTCAAGCAAAATACCTCTCAGGCCAACTTAGATCTCCGGATGGGCCAAGACTGGGCCATGGGTTTGAGGCTCCTCTCCTCTGCTCTACTGTATAGTGCTGGATAGGCCTTCACTATCTTATCTAACAGACTCTGAAATGGGAGCACATGGGGAGCCAAGGATCTTCAACTTAGAAAGGGGTGTGTGTCACAGGCTTCAGCAGCTGAGTATTCAACATTTTTGTTCATTCCCTCTTCAGAGAACTGTTCTGAAAATATGTGATTGGGAATTATTAGTAGTAGTACAGTGGTACCTCGGGTTAAGTACTTAATTCATTCCGGAGGTCCGTTCTTAACCTGAAACTGTTTTTAACCTGTAGCACCACTTTAGCTAATGGGGCCTCCCGCTGCCGCCGCACGATTTCTGTTCTCATCCTGAAGCAAAGTTCTTAACCCGAGGTACTATTTCTGGGTTAGCGGAGTCTGTAACATGAAGCGCCTGTAACCTGAAGCGTATGTAACCCGAGGTACCACTGTATTATTATTATTACTACAGCAGCCACTGTTAACTAATCAGTCACAGGGGATATAGGGTGGGGTGGGATTTTTTTTTTTTTTTGGTATTTTCATGTTCATGCCACTTCTTCAAGTGGTGAGAAGTTCAAGGGCTGCAGTGCTTATCCAGTTTTGTTTCTTTCTGAAAGAGGTCACTGTAAACTCATTGACATTTTGTAATATGCAGGTATAGCTTAAACGTGCCAAAAGACAGCCGAAGTCCACTGGTCCCACATCAGACCACCAGGGTGACATCCAGCACCAAACCAAGCTTAGTGCGAATGCTTGAGTGGTTGGGACCTGGAGAGAGATCACATCTGCTTTGCTCCTCCTCCAGACCTGCTGCTGCTGCTGTGCTGCTGTGAGCAACACCATGGTTTGACTTGGCATGCCAACTAAATCCAAGCTTCTGGTTTATATCACTCCAGCTGTATCACATGAGCTGTAACTCAGGTTTGTTCTTGGTTTACAGATTATGGTTTATCTGGAAAAGACAAACCTTGAGCCCGGATTCAGACAACATGCTAAACTAAACCTTGGCTTAGCTCTCAGTAGCCTAGAAGCAGATGAACTGGAGGAGTAGTGAAGTGGTCACTGTCTCCTCTCTAGGAACCTGCATGATTTGGCTTAGAATTCTATGCAAACAGAGACTCTGTTTTCCTCAGCCCCATCCAAAGTTCATTGTTTTTTTGATACCTGAAAATCTGAATGAGGTGGAAATGTGGAGGCAGCAGAGGCAGAAGACAGCCGTCATGGCTACGTTGCCATCTGGCATCTTCATTCACCATAGAAGCAATCCCTGTGCCTGATAAGTGAATGTGGGTGTTGGTGTGTAGGTTTTTCCCCTCAGCAAAGTCCCCTCTTAGTTCCAGAGTCAGATCTCTTTCTGGGTTTTTTTTTGGGGGGGTGGGGGTGGACACTCTTGCAAGCTTTATTAATAGAACGAACAACCCCAAGTTCTCCCCTCGTTCCATTAATATGGATGCAGATAACAAGCGATTCCTCTGCCACTCCACTATCATTTAGTAATAAATTAATACAACATTAGCCTAAGCCATCTGAGATCTCCCTAATGGACCCAAAGAAAAGAAGCAATTATAATAACTCCCAGGACTTTGACAAATAAAAAGAAAGGAAAATAAGCTGGAAATAGTTGAGCGAACGGCAGCCTGGCGGACACGGCACAGGCTCGCCCTTGGTTTATCAGCTGCTTCCATCCCCTGAGGGGAGACAGGAGGGCCACAAAGCCTGAGGCAGCCGCAGGGCCCTCTTTGCATGCTTGTAGCAGCGCCCTAAGGCTGCCTACAGTTGAACAAATCATCGGTTTTTATCGTGTTCCAAATAAGCCATCTGCTAATAAAACATTGCGTGTTGCTGTTCAGCGCAAACAACAACTGTTACGTCTAGTTAATATTGTTTTTCCAGGAGCCAATTCTTTTTTCAGTTCCCGATTAAGAAGCCAAATATTAACTCTAGCCCTTTGTGGCTCTTTTGTGGAGTTACGTTTGCAAGCAGCGATGAAATAGCTGTGAGGCAGGTGGCACACGAGCCTTTTCAACGGTGTTTGCTGTTCAGTCCCTTCAGTGCGCTGAATAAGTTTCCGAAGCAAATGTCTTCTGATTTTCCGTGATAAGGCAATATACACAACAATCACCTGCTGTTTTGCTGAAGAAATGGCTTCATAGCTTAAACTTTCCCTGAAATGGGATGCTTTAAGTCAAGGGTGGGGAACCTTTTTCCAGCCCACTGTTTCCTTCAGGGCAATTTTCCTGGGGACACATGTCAGGGATGGGAGGGGCCAGAGGCAAAAGTGAGCGGAGCTGTGGATGTAAGTTTTATCTTTCTACACACACCAATCTATCCTGCATTGAGCCATTCGTTTCCCCAGAACTGAGATTCCCTACTCCCTATTCAAAGCACCCAGCAACCTTGGGCAGCATGTCCTGGCAGGAGCTGGCACAAGCCCTTCTGTGCGCACATTTTGCTGCTAATAACATGGCAGCATTTGCCATTTTAAATGTCCCACCATGCCGTGGGCACTACGGAATGGTAAAAACAGCGGACAGCTGGCCAGATCTAGCCACTGCTGACAGGTAAACCAGTGACCCCCAAGGTGGCGGGGCACTGGTCCTGCTTTTAACGTTGTTAGAAACGCATGGGTCACAGTTCTACTTCCCATTGACAGTGTGTGGGGTAGGGTGGAGCCACAGGGGCACCCTCCCAGCAATCCACTGCTGCTTACTTGGATGCAGCTGGGGTGGGGCAGGATAGCAGTGAAGTCAGGGGGTGCTCCTCCCCTGGTGGACCCACACAGCCATGGTCTAGCCATTGTCCCGCTCTTCCACAATCCTATCTAGGTAAGTAGCAGTGATGCCGACACTGGTGTCAAAAGGCTGGATTTGCTGCTGTGCCCCATCATACACACCAGTACAGTGGAACCTCGGGTTAAGAACTTAATTCGTTCTGGAGGTCCGTTCTTAACCTGAAACTGTTCTTAACCTGAGGTACCACTTTAGCTAATAGGGCCTCCCGCCGCCGCTGCGTGATTTCTGTTCTCATCCTGAAGCAAAGTTCTTAACCCAAGGTACTATTTCTGGGTTAGCAGAGTCTGTAACCTGAAGCGTTTGTAACCTGAGATACCACTGTACTGCTACTAGGTAGCTCACTTGGTTGGAGTGCGGTGCTGATAAAGCCAAGGTTTCAGATTTGATCCCCAAATGGGACAGCTGCATATTCCTGCATTGCAGGGGGTTAGAGAAGATGATCCTCAGGGTCACTTCCTACTCTATGATTCCCCCAACCTCACAAAAACAAAGTGCAGAATGGCTGCTATAGAGCTCTGGTATCATCTCCCTTCTCCCAGGCACAACTCCCCTCTGGTAGTTTACCTACTTTTCCTCACAGAGCTGCAGTACCCCAAACAAACTTCAATTCTCAGGGTTCTTTAGGGAAAATGTGCTTTAAGTGTATGGGGGTGGGGGCGACCTGAAACCATGTGGATCAGACTCCCAGGCAGTCTCCTATCCAGGCACTGATCAGGGTAAGGCTTCCCTAGGCTTAACATCATAGCAGCAGCAACTCCCCTTAGGCCAGTGATGGCCAAACGCGGCCTTCCAGCTGTTTTGGGACTACGACTCCCATCATCCCTAGCTAACAGGACCAGTGGTCAGGGATGATAGGAATTGTAGTTCCCAAACAGCTGGAGGGCCAAGTTTGGCCATCATTGCCTTAGGCCATTCTTAGGAAATCTGAACCTTCAACCCACTTTGGACTATCAAGTGTAGCAGGTATGGGTTTGCACAACATGACTTGCCTTGAAAGTGGTACAAGAAACTAGCTATTCAAAATCACCACCACCCTTAAAAAACAGCCACCATGAGTCAGTCCACCACACTGCTTCTTTGCTGGAGGATCTCTTCTGCTAAAGCAATCTTTGCAAACCTGATGCCTTCCAGATGTTTTGGACTATAATTCCTATCAACCCCAGCCAGTATCTTTTGTAGTTCAAAACATCTGGAGGGCACTAGGTTGGCAAAGTCTGCAGTGAGGCTTCTTTTGCTCAGATGCCTGCTGAATTTGTTCAGCATTACAGTGGTACCTCGGGTTACATACGCTTCAGGTTACATATGCTTCAGGTTACAGACTCCGCTAACCCAGAAATAGTACCTCGGGTTAAGAACTTTGCTTCAGGATGAGAACAGAAATCGCATGCTGGCGGCGTGGCGGCAGCGGGAGGCCCCATTAGCTAAAGTGGTGCTTCAGGTTAAGAACAGTTTCAGGTTAACAACGGACCTCCGGAACGAATTAAGTACTTAACCCAAGGTACCACTGTATTAGGAATCTCGCTGTGGATTATTTGTACTATTCCTTAACCTTTAACATGTTTTATAGACACATGTGCTTATGAATCTTATGTATTTTTTCCGGGGGGGGGGGGAATGATCTGGGCACAGTCATTCATTCCTTGTAACCTGAAGGGCCCTAGGCTTGTAGAGGCTGTGCTGAGGCATGAGTTCTTAATACAGCTTCATCTAGAAAGCCATAGCAGTCCATAGCTTTACTGTAACAAATTTGCTGATATTAAGTGGATTTGAACACACAGCGGGTGTCATAAACTTCTCCAATTGGGTTATACTGAACTCATCACTTTAATCCAACCGCTCCTATTACCCTTCACAGTAAACACAATCAAGATTTGAATCTAAACCTCTCATTCTCCCATCTCTGCATGCTATAAATGTTTCTGAACCGACAGGCGCTCACATGATTGGATGTCATGTGCTGTAATGTTACCGCAGTAAACAGCACCATCTAGGGATCCACATTTGGATGATTTGTGCTTAAAGAATATTTGACATGTGGAATTAGCTGTACGTACAGAGCAAGGTAGGTGTGTGTCGTTACTAGAGCTATGTGTGTTTTGAGTGATCCCAGAACTGAAGTATTTGTTTATTAAATCACATTTAAATACCCGCTTTTCCTCCAAAGAAACTCTAAGGCAGCACACATGGTTCCCACCTCCCATTTTATCCTCACAACATCCCCAGGGGGAGGTTAGACAGAGGGGGGGCAGGCTGGGCCCAAATACCCCAGCGAGCTTTATAATGGAGTTGGAAGTTGAACTTGGGTCTGCCTGGTCCTGCTGCAGCACTCTGACAACTACATCACACTGGATCTCACTGGATCCCTTAACATGTTCACAACGAATGTGTTGTCTGCTACAGTGCATGAAAATCAAGACTGCCACCACTGGGTGCCCCAAGCATGAAACCCAGTTAAGCATAAGGACTATAGCTCAGTGCCATGTGGACTAAGGAGTGGTGGGAGGTACCAGCTGGGGAACCTGCCCCCAGGGAAAGAAGGCTCAGAGCTCGGGCATGGTGGTGGCATGACGATGCGTGGTCAGAGAGAGAAGAGGGGGCAGACTGGGAGGAGGAGATGGCAGAAGCTGAAGAGGCAACAGGCTTTAGTGAGCAGGAAGAGGCTGGGACAGAGAGCAGTCCAGGTTCAGAGTCAGAAGCGGAGGCTGGAGGGGAGGTGGCCAGGAAGCAGAGATGAAACAGGCTGCTGAAGAATCCAGGGAGTCTACCCCTCCTGCTGCGACCAGCTCCATTCCCTGTGATTTCCCAGAACCTGCAGAGGTATGAAGAGGGCAGAGCAGAGACAGACAATGCAGAGAACTCTCAGGTTGCATGGGAAGGACCCAGGAGTGAAGGAGACTTAGGGAGTTGTGGGGAAGTGGGGACTTTCAATCCTTGCAACTACCTCATTGGGGCAGGATCTTCAAGGAAGTGTTGTTATCCTCACCAGGCCAGGCTTCCTGAGCTGCTTGTTTCTTTGAATAAAGAGTTAGCTTCACTGACATGGGCGGTTTTTATTGGCGACCTACTCCTGACATTCAGCGGCAGAGCAACATGCTTTGAATGGGAAAGGTCCCATGTCCAGCCACTTGCTTCTGCAGGTAGGGCTGGGAATGACCTCCGCCTGAGAGCTTGCAGGGCCACTTACACTTACACAATGTAGACCACTGCTAGGAAACCTCCGACTTGCAGGCCTGATTAGGCCCAAGACCTTCACATTTGGCCTGTGAGGTACACACCTGTACACACCCTGCTGTCATATGATGTCAGGCCCTGGACTAGCAAGCCCCAAAGGAAGAATTGGGAACACACTAAGGGCACTCCTGCCGCTTTAATTCAGTGCTTTTCGCATAGCCCTGCCTACTGACCAGGAAAGACACCAAACGCACTCCTGAGTCTTCCTTTGCGGCCATGGCTTTAAATGTGAATCACCTGGTGTCGTATGATGTCAGGGGATTAGCATGTGTGTGGTCCTGCCCAGTGTCAAGGGGGCCCACCCCTGGCATTGGCAGTACTGAGCTGGCTAGACCAAAGGAGTAATTTGGCAGAAGGATGTGTTTCTGGATATTTGAACTCAAGCCTGAATCCCATGCCCTGTGTGCACAGTGCTTGTGGTTACAAACAGGGTATGTAAGAAGCAACTATGATATAAACACTTTGAATATGCTAATTGCCACGTTGCTCTGTAGGGATTAACCTTTTGCGCCCTGGAATAATAGGCGATTCCAATCTGTGAAGCTGAATGCTGGCTGAGGATTGAATGGCCATTCATGTCTGCTCCGCGATGATACGAAATTCATTTCCAAAGCTTCTTGAGGATACAAGTACTATTCTCTGAAATTTTCCCAGTAAAGTAAAATCCTCCTAAAATGATTAGCTTTCCGATTAATAACCTTGTAATCATTTCACACGGAAAGGGATTACAATTGCAAGCCTCATCCTCTACTATATTATTTACCTAAAAAAAAAAAAAAAAAGCTCGGCTTTAATTATGCTGGATATTATTGCCCCTCATTTTCAGGGCTGTTAAATTGTTTCATCAAATTAAGTCCCCATAATAAGTAAGGAGCAGAAAAAGTTTATCTATATTGCTTGTAGTTTATCTATGCTGCTCACTTAAATGCAGCATATGTTAAATGTTTCAAAGCCTTGACACCTCTGCTTTAGTTTCGCTGCTCTGCTTTCCAATCAGGTGTTGATCATCTACTTTTAATACACTGGAGCACATCTAAGCCACGGCTGGAAACTTTAATGCTAAATTTTATGTAAACAACTAACCCGCAGAAGGGTTATGTTCACCATTTGCGGGAGAAATACTGTGCTGGGATATTGAATTTCAAAGCTAGCTGGATTTCCAGCAGATGTGTTTGATGTCTGTCAAACTCTTTGCACTGCTTCAGTAGAACAGCATTCATTAACGTAAATGGCATGCAGTAAAAAGTGCTTTTCTGTGCACATTTAATATGTAGCATGTCTGGCTGCATTTTAACATAAGGGCAATCTATCCTAGTATTCAAAGCCATTTTAGCTGGTGATACTGTCCATGATAAGACCCGCCCGCCCCCCCAAATGGCCCTAAACAACCGCTGAGCCAGCAGTTCTCAGAAATATTATTTTAAAAAAAATGAAAAACCAAAGATTTTTCTTTCCGTAACCTCCCTTCCTCATATTCTCTGAATGCGCTTCTCTTTTTATTTTCTGTGCCCATCTTGCCACATCCTGGAATAGCATGAGGCCAATGTCATGCCAAACTCTAAACTGATGCCAGAAACTGTATTTTAATATTCTGCTGGAAGCTGCCCAGAGTGGCTGGGGAAACCCAGTCAGATGGGTGGGGTATAAATAATAATTTATTTATTTATTTTATTATCATTATTATCATCATCTGAATCCTCAGGGGATGAACCAGTCACCCCATGAGCCAAGGACCTTGAGGAGCAGGCAGGACCTCTATATCCAATACAGTCATACCGGGTTAAATGTGCTTCAGGTTGAGCGTTTTCAGGTTACGCTCCACAGCCACTCACGCATGCGCAGACGCTCAAAATTATGTCACGCGCATGCGCAGAAGCAGCAAATTGCGGCCTGCGCATGCGCAGACACTGGTTGCGTTCGCTTCAGGATGTGAAAGGGGCTCCGGAATGGATCCCGTTCGCACCCAGAGGTACCACTGTACTGAGGATCCCCTTGAGGGGACCTCTGGGTTCACACCTGATGAAGGACCCCTGGAGCTATCAGAGGAGGAGGTGGAGCAGCCCCCAGTCCTTGAGAGCAGCAGTGCTAAAAGCTCCCAGTACAGGCCAAAGAGTGATGGCACAGTATGTGTGTATGGACCCAGAATAGTCAGTCCACTTGTGATTTGGGGGTCTACTTATGAGTTAGCAAATCCTAATAGTCTTTCACTAACCAGCAGCTGTAGTTAGGGTGCAGTTTAGGCAGCCAGTGTATATAAGCCTTCCAGTTGCTGAAAACAGCACTGGTTTTTGTCTTCTCATTCTAGCTCTGATGGCTTGCTGAACTTCTTGTGATAGGGACCTTGGACTGCTTCCTAACCTTCTTGGAGCTTGGAGAGCTAACTAACCCTTGAAAATATAGGGCTTTTGTACTAATTTTAGCTAACACATTCTAATGGAGAAGGGAAGGGGGCTATGAGATAAGCAGTTCCTATAATTCCAGTATTCCTGTTGTTTCTTCCTAGAGCATGGGTAGGCAAACTAAGGCCTGGGGGCCGGATCTGGCCCAATCGCCTTCTAAATCCGGCCCACAGATGGTCCGGGAATCAGCCTGTTTTTACGCAAGTAGAATGCGTCCTTTTATTTAAAATGCATCTCTGGGTTATTTGTGGGGCATAGGAATTCATTCTTCTTTTTTCCAAAATATAGTCCGGCCCCCCACAAGGGGGACAGTGGACCGGCCCCCTGCTGAAAAAGTTTGCTGACCCCTGTCCTAGAGCTTCTTGACTAATTCCCATTCTGTTTATACTGCTTAATTAAAAGTTGAAGGAATATAATCCTAGTGATCAATGACTAAACTGGTTATCTTTGTTTGCTTTGTGTCTTAAAGTTGTCTTACCATTTTGTCTGTGCAGAAACCATTCCTTAGCAGGAGGTGTTGATTAGATTTTCTGGGTAACTAGATTACAGGGGTGGGGGCTGCTTCGTTTTCAACACCAAAGTGACCTCTCCAGGGCACTAGCCCAGGCACTGTGGATTACTTGTGCTGATCTTTATACAAGGTATTAGAAGCTCAAGACATTTCTTCAGTGCCTTCCAGGACACGTTTAAGACAAGACTGGTACCAGAGTAAAAAAAAAAAGTTCATAATGGGGATCTCATGTCATATTAAGTTATGCCAACCTTTTTAACTCATGCCATGATCTATAGTAATAAGACACAGAAAAAGTTCAGATTGACACACGCCTATTCACAATCGTACCAGATGCACATTTAAGGCAAGGAGCGCTTCCTCCCACTGGAAAAAGATTGTAAAAACAAAACAAAAAATGCATTTAATTGTTTCCAGAAAGTACAGCCTGAGATAGGTTGGCAGGAATGGTGCTCCAATGATGAAAAGTGCCACATTGGTAACAGTTGGTCTGTCCAGGTGTATTATTTTTAGTTTCTACTGAATTATATGCATATTTTATTTTATTTATTTATTTAGAAGATTTTTAAACCACTTGATCAAAGCTCTCTAAATGGTGTGCAAATAAAACTGTAAATAAAGCACTGCTAAAACACACAAAGCAATTAAAAACTAATATACATAGATGCTTCCAGCATTTTGTTTGTGGAGCCTTTCCTAACCACCACCACCCCACATTATTTTAGATTGAATTTATTTAATGTTGACCTCATTGTTCAAATGGCAGACCACCAAACAAAAGGGAAAAGAAGGTAATAGAGAGTGAAATCACAGTGTGCACCAGGACTTCTCAACAGCTAGAAATGATCCATTCTTTCCACTATCCACCTTTGCGCCAACATTCGTAAATCAAGCATGCTTATTACCAATGAGCCTTCCTACAGACGATCTCTCTGAGTCTTCTCCCCACTGCCACCATTTGTGACAGGTTGAAAAATAAAACACAACAGTTTGGAGAATAGCAAACAGCTGAATTATTTTCCTCCCCCCACTCCTACTCTCTTACGGACATTACACTGAAAGCAAGGACAATGAGATTTATAACCAGAAATAAAAGAAATTTAAGAAGCATAATCTAAAATTGATTTTAATGCACTTCCTGATCAGATACCATCAACCCTGGCTTCCAACTGAATGGGATAATTTCATTTTTTTGGACACGGAAAATAGATACTTGAATACAAATGATGCTTATGGATGAGTTGTCATCAGGCACACCTTAACTTTCAAAAATAGATTACTTGACTCCTTGACAATTTATGGTTTGGGCACTTATTGCTATTTCCGTCTCTAAATAGTAGCTCTTAAAGACAAATGTTTACAGATTTTGCCCAAGAGAACTGAAGAGGGGGAAATAAGCCTCTTTCAGGCAGCACATTTACACTGAAGGATTTCATGACTAAAAGGGTCTAGCGTTTAGCCTCTGTAGAAGATAACCTTTTTCTTGGGAGGAACCTGTAGAATGGATCTTAGAAGGCACTGTTTCATTAAAACCTCACATGATTTATGCTAAATGCTCAGTGGTGTGGCGTTTGCTATCTCTGAGTGCCAGATAGAATCATGTGCCTATATTAGAGAATTGTGTGCAGGAGGGAAAATGACTAGCATTGTGCTTCCCTTGCCTGCCCTTCAAACAGAGGTGTTTAAATTGTTGCATGGTTTTAAACAATTATTTTCACAGATATAACAGTCTCTCTATCCTTGACCATTTTCTATAGCTTAGGTTGCAATTCAGGTGCATATCAAAAAATTTATTTGCACAATTAAAGCGGATTTACTGTATTTTTCGCCCTATAGGGCGCACTGGCCCATAGGACGCACCTAGTTTTTTGGGGGGGGGAAATGAATAAAAAAAAATATTCCCCCCCCCCCCAGCCGCGGGGCTGGGGCAGGGGAAGCCCGAGCTTCCCCAGCCCCCAGAACAGGCTGCTATCCGCAAGGCTTGCGGACACCTGCCCGAAGCACGGGGTGCTCTCTGGAGGGAGCCCCGTGCTTCGGGCTGCAGGCTGCTGCCCGCAAGCCTTGCGAGCCCGCGGGAACTCCCGCCGGGCTTGCAAGGCTTGCGGATAGCTTCCTGAAGCCTGGAGAGCGAGAGGGGTCGGTGCGCACCGATGCCTCTCGCTCTCCAGGCTTCAGTGAAAGCCTGCATTCGCCCCATAGGACGCACACACATTTCCCCTTCATTTTTGGAGGGGAAAAAGTGCGTACTATAGGGAGAAAAATACGGTAAGTCTTCTGTTGCCATAGAACAACAATTCCGTTGTTGTTGTTGTTGTTGTTGTTGTTGTTGTTGTTAAAATCAGGGCTTTTGAATTGGGAAGTGATGTGGAACTGTGGTGAAAAGTGTGGAATAAATGAATGATTAATGGAAAGTTGTATAAACACTCCACAAGCAAATAAGGATAAATGCAGAATGAATGCTCATTATCATATAACTGCTCCATAAACCATTCAGAAAGAATGCTAAATAAAAACTGGACATAAGCTTTGTGCAAGCAAGTCAAGATGAACGCTCAATTAACAGCGTCCTCTGGAGATGCCCATATTTAGACATACAAGCCCCCAAAGTTTAAGAAATCTGATACATATGGTGTTTGATATTTTTGTTTATCTGTTTAATTATTTATTGCAAAATATTTACAGGCTGCCTTTCCAAGTACAACAGTTTCACATAGTGTTTATTTATGTCTAAGGAAATTCAGCAGCTACCTTCCCAATTGTTTTAAAGTATTGAAAATATATACATATAGACTTTCATCATATTGAGGAAAGGAAGAAGGTTCACCAGAATTCTCTGTCATACTCTGGTCTAGTCTACCACTGACAAGTGGAAGAATCCCTGAAGTAACTCTATTGCCCAGAAAACATGGTCCCACCACTAAGCCCTTCCTGATCAAGGAAGTAGAAGATTGGGTTAGTATCTGGACTAATTCTTGTTAAAAGGAGGATGTTTATCAAACAATGTGGCATTGATTAATGCTAGCTGACTGTGTATATTATGTAGTGATTTATTAATTTTGTTGTCGTTTAGTCATGTCCGACTCTTCGTGACCCCATGGACCAGAGCACGCCAGGCACTCCTGTCTTCCACTGCCTCCCACAGTTTGGTCAAACTCATGCTGGTAGCTTCGAGAACACCGTCCAACCATCTCGTCCTCTGTCGTCCCCTTCTCCTTGTGCCCTCCATCTTTCCAAACATCAGGGTCTTTTCCAGGGAGTCTTCTCTTCTCATGAGGTGGCCAAAGTATTGGAGCCTCAGCTTCAGGATCTGTCCTTCCAGTGAGCACTCAGGGCTGATTTCCTTCAGAATGGAGAGGTTTGATCTTCTTGCAGTCCATAGGACTCTCAAGAGTCTCCTCCAGCAGCACTAATGATATTTGAAATGGGTTATATTATTATATTATATTATATTATATTATATTATATTATATTATATTATTAGTTCTTCGTCTCATGTATTGTGAGCTGCTTGTGGGAAAGTGGCATATAAATAAACTAATGAGTAATGAATGAATTGTAGAAAATGGTTTCCTAATAGCTAAGAATAAATCTCCATCTTTGGAATTAGATACCCATCACAACATGGAGATATCCCTCCAGCTAAGGAGAGAAAAAAGCAACTTTCCATTTGAATGGACAAAAAACAAAAACAAGTAGAGTGAGTGAGATGAGAATTCTAGTTGGGATTAGCTAAACTCAGCTGCAACTTTTTGGGAGTTGTATCTACTCTCTGGGATTCTGCTAGAACACCCACGGATTTGCTATTACTGAATAAGTGCCTATTTGCTTCCGCTATTCTCTTCTAATAAATAAAGCAAACCTACTACGAAGACCCTACAAGTCTTCTGTTCTCTCTCATCAAAAATGTTAAGCTCAGCACTTAGAAGGGGGGGATGTATTAAAGTGAAGTGAAATTCCTTTTTCCATTCAGCAACAATCTGCCCCAGCCAGGTATCAAAAGTTTAGCAAGTACTTGTTTGGAATATACTAGTAGCAAAATAATAGGAAAAACATTCCAAATATGATTAAAATGAATGCATTTATTTTAAAAGCCTCATCCAGAGAAGCAGCACTAAATTACTTTGATGCACTAAGGCAGAATTACTTGGGACTTAGATATGGGATATAAGTTCAGTTACCATAACTTAGTATTCACAGTACATAATTTTAGTTGATCACAGTCTAACCAAATGTATATTTAATCTTAATCCTTTAGCTGCCTTGGGTAGCTGGCAAATTGATAAAACAAGATCTAGAGACAAATTACAAAATTGTGTTCCTGGAAAATAGGTTTCCATATATTAAAAAGCTTGTGAAATCACTGGAGTTGATTTTGTTATGCATATTATTTAATGGTCAATAATGGGTTTAAAACAGTGCTACCTTTATGGGCTTATTATACACTTGAATGGAAGCTTCTAAGGGGAAAGATTACTGAAACTGGGAAAGAAGACAGAACTTTTGTTCGAAAGCACGTGTCAGGGGTTCAGGGAGAGAGGCACAGGGTAGGCAGGGGATGGAGAGCGATGGGGATGAATTCCAAGCCAGCGAGGAAGAGGATGACAATGACTCAAGAGATTCCATGAGTCTTTCCAGCGAATCAGAGGATTCCCAGAAGGGGCGCCGGTGGTCAAGGCCAGGGAGCCCCAGGGGGACGTGTCAGGAGCAGGGGGCCAGCGGAGGATCCCAAAGTGGCAGCTGGGCGTCAGGACCAGCCTCCCCACCAGAGTGCAGCGAAGGGGTGGAGTTTCCAGTGTGTCAGGGAAGCAGCTCCGGCAGCAGAGAAAGGAGGGAGGTCAGAGCAAGCCGCCCTCCCGGAAGGAGGGAGCAGTGAAGGGAGTAGTGTAACTGTCAAAAGGAAAGTTAGAGGTTTGGCGCGCGCGCCAAGTTCAAATGTAGAGGCGCGCGGAAGTACAGGGAGCCCGGAGGAGGGGCCAGGTCCCAAAGCCCGCAGGAGGGGGAAGAGCAGTCTGATTCCGCGTCAGAGGAATCCAGGAGGGCGAAACCCCAGCGGGCAGAAGGACCCTGCGGAAAAGGAAGGAGAGAAAGAGGTGGAGCAGCGTAAGCCTCTTAAATTGGTGCAGGGGAGGGACGGATTCAGAGGGGACTTCAGCGGTCTAAGCGTAGCAGACGTAAGGCTGCGCGCCTAGGATGTCAAGCAAACAATGAACTGCAATAAACACTTTTGTATATAAGAAGACATAGGTGTTGGTCTTTTGTGAGCTGAGACTTGAGGCAGCCTTGACAGCACGTCAAAGTGCAAGTAGATAAATAGGTACCGCTCCGGCGGGAAGGTAAACAGCGTTTCCGTGCGCTGCTCTGGTTCGCCAGAAGCGGCTTAGTCATGCTGGCCACATGACCCGGAAGCTGTACGCCGGCTCCCTCGGCCAATAAAGCGAGATGAGCGCCGCAACCCCAGAGTTGGTCACGACTGGACCTAATGGTCAGGGGTCCCTTTACCTTTTTAAGTCATGTTGAAATCAGTTGGGCAGGTAAAATGATAACATTTAGTTAGTTAGTTAGTTAGTTAGTTATTTTTTAAAAACGTACTAGGAGCATGCAACCCCCTGGATTTATCAAGGTTCTCCAGGCAGGCTTTAAGCCAGAATCCCTGACCAGAATCTGGTCTAACATACCTCACTGGAACTATTTATTTAGAATCATAGAACTCTATGGTAGGGCTGGAAGGGGTATTGAAGACCACCTACTTCAATCCCTTACTCAATGAAGGATCTACAATGCTGGGTGAAACTGAAGAATCCCTCGCAGATGGACATCCTGCCTCTGCTTAAATACCTCCAGAGCCCACCATTTCCTGAAGCAATCTGTCCAGATTTCTACTATGCTAAGCTGAAAATCTGCTTCCTTGCCATTGGCTCCCTGTATCCATTGGTCCCTGACCTACCCTCTTCTTTGAGAGTCACCAGTGTGGCCCATGAGGCCTTCTCTGGTGCTCACAGTGTCCCCTCCCTTGCCTCTCATCTACTGAAGCTCAGAAATGAACAGCAGCTCACAAAGAGGTAGCGCTGGAGTTAAATATAGTTCACAGAACAAAGAAGAGTCATTTACTCATATACTGATAATATCCCTTGAGGGATAAGAATGTGCCAAAGTGTGAGAAATATAAATTCTCTACAAAATAAAAATGTGCCCTAACTCTACCAGCTGTCTCCTCAGCCTGTGAAGCAAGACACTTTCTGCTACAGTTCCTATAATTCCTATTTCAATTGGGATTTTTAAAAAAATATATATAATGCAAATGAGCTTGCGCCACCTGAGGTGAGACTAATTAAAATGTTAAATGTGACTTTAAGTGTGGTGTCTTCTACTACTTCATCATGTTACATATTACAACCATCACTCGCTTAACTCAAAGCTGTCTTCCCGCTGGTTAACAGCCATCTGTAGTAACAGAGACAGAACTTTATGAGCCCATGAGTAGAATCTGAGCTGCATTTAGCAATGATTAATGAGTATCATTTCTATTGAAAAGGGGGTGAGGGATGCAAAGAAGATTATCTTTGAAGAATGTTAAAAATGGCAATGTCAGCGAGGAAAACAACATGGCCAGAATTTCTTGGTGATAAAGTGCCAACCCTTCTGAAGCCTTTCACTGTGACTTTTTGGGACTGACAGCTTTTGGGTACTAAGGGGCTTGCAGAGTAAATATGCCTGGCATTTACTTGAGCAGGGACAAGATTCACATCAACTCAAAGGAGGCTGTGTAAAAAATTTAAAATAATTAAAGGTCCTCAGGAATTTCCTGGCTATATCAAATAGCTTGTTGCATACAATTTGGCTGCTATTTATAGCACATGAATTGATTGTGAGTGAGAATTATTCCAATTATCAATTAAATAGCACTTTGGGGTACAAAATCTATACCATTGCTTTGTGTATTTGTGAGCAATTGTTTCCATTCTAAAGTTGGGGGAACTGGAACTTAGAAATACTAGGCATTTGGGTGGACAGTTACACATTCCCAAACAAGAGGAAGTGCATTATGTGAAAGGAGAGCAAAAGACGACACATAATTGCATATGTGGATAGAAGCAAATTTTGAAATAATGAGTACTCTAATTTAAATATCAATACAATGCATCTCACCATATTGGGGGAAACTGACCGATTGAATCTGCTGTCCGAGATGCTAACTATTTATGGGAAACTTCAAGGCTTCCTACATTTCTTTATCTTTAAATGAAATGTGGATTGGAAAGTCAATCAATCAACTTTGCTGCAGTTTAGAAACCTTCCAATTGACCAGTAAGCCAGTCAAACAATCAATCCAAGTTTTGGGATACATTGAACACAACATAAATGCAGAAGATCTACACACCATTGCTCTTGACACATAGCACTTCTCAGTGTGATTTGGATAAACTTCCCTTGTATTTATAGTGACAAATAATGTTTGCCATTTTTAATGTCATCTGGTTATTCATATCAGTCAATAGGAAAGGTACAGAAAATATTGAAAGAGTGTCCCCCTGTAAGGAATTACTAAGAGGAGATAAATAGTTACCATAAATCCTTCTACAATATGCAGACTGAATGGTGCATGTACCACCAGTTCAACAACCAAAGGACCACAAGGCCGAATCTATCACCCCATGGCAGTCCTCTGAAAGGCACATCCACTGCAGCTGGTGGAAATACATGTAGCCAATCCAGAATAAAAGATCTACAATATTTAGGAACTATGTAAGTCCATAAGTTATTTAGCTGCTGGTAAATAGAGAACTGCCATCTGACAGCCCTTCAAATACACAATGGTCCTCTGTAAAGTAGAGCGTGTGGTGACCTTGCTCAGGTAGAAGAGATCTGAATCAATGTCTTCTGGAATACTCCACTGCATGTGATGTCCAGTTTTCTGACTATAATTCACTATATAGTCCACTATAATTCTCTATATCTAAACTTTTCGGCAATATAAATGGTTAATCGGTCACCCATGCACTATGCACAACACTCATATATAGCAAATGGCTGGCCACCCTTGGCCACAGGTCAGGTGCTGCCATTTGTTAAGTACTAAACATATGAGATTTCCACATTATATAATTGGTACTACACACTCTCCTGCTCGTGTGTGGCCAGTTCTGGGTCTTTGCTTTGCAATCCAAATTTACAGCGTAGCAGTAATATTTTTGTACAAGCTGTCAGGTCTCATGCTTGCAGAGTTCTATGGGAAAATATCACAACCTATTATTCAGAGGTAGCAATAGGTTCTCCTCGGCAGACAAACCACTTTGTGTTAGGGCTTTTTTCCCTTTGTCTAAAATATTTCAACACCAACACTGCACTTCCCCTTTGGAGGAGGCCATGTCACCGTGGGGTTTAAAGTATAATGCAGCTTCTCATCTGGCAAACCAGCAAGAGGAGAA